TAATATAAGAAAGGCCCAAGTTGAGGCCCATTACAGCAAAGAACATAAAGAAAACAAATAAGATAACAGTCTATGGGCCATTCGGCCCATCTTCTCTACAATTATAATATGATGCCAAAAATTCTTATTATATATCATCTTCTACATTAGATAATGTAGTGTGCTAACCTAAGGTGGTGTTCTACGAACACAGCCTAATGTTTTTCTAGAAGAAGGATTTGATAACATATCAAATTAGTGATGCTAGACAAATGACACAGATGGAAAATCCCAATTCCGACCTGCCAACATTAATATAATTTGAGCATATCTTGCTCAAGTCAGATTTAATTGGTAATCAAATGTTTAATCAAATGGACTTTTGAGCAGTTTCCTCATTAATGGTTTTGAAGATTTGGAGACAAAATGCCCTAACATGGATATGCAATAAGCTTCAGTGCTGAAGCCCTTGCAATGACACTTTACATCTATTTGTAAACCCAAATCGGATCTTGTTTCCAAAAAAAAAGCGGATCTTGCCATTTTGATTATCTAGATGTCTTAACCACATCATTTCATGCTGTCTGTATTTCTGCTCATTTCGTCATTTAACCCATTTTCTTTAATTTCATCACTTAACTCAAGTCTCATACTATTATCTTGTGGTAAATTGGACCCTTCAAGTTTGTAGATCATTGTAATTTTAATTTATTGGATCTGATTATTCCTTGGCTTATTATCATACTAACTGATCTGAACTTTTGAACAGGGGGAGCCTTTGTGTATCTTCTATTCACGCTATGGTATCTGCAAGTTCGGTCCAAATTGCAAGTTTGACCATCCTATGGGACCATTCACGTATAGTCTTTCTGCCTTTTCTTCAACTGATGTCCCAGTAATTAGGCGTTCATTAGGATCCTCATCAGGGACTACTGCATTGCCTTTGTCATCAGAAGGGCCTCTTGAAGCAGGCTCAGGAAAATCCTGAAGACTTTCACTTTCCAAGACACAGCAGATGTCTTCTCATGATGAAAATATTGATGCGGAAGGATCATACTCCACCTCAAGTATTCATCCTGTTGTTTCCTTCTCTTGATCATTAGGGGAGAACAAATCCTGTAAATTGAATCCTCATTGCTGAAGATGTACAGAATTTCATTTTGAGTCAAATCTGTTCATCTGGAGATGCAATTTTACTTGCAACAAACTCAACACCTCTGAATTTCTGATTTCTGCAATGTGTAAATTTGCACATAATTTCACAGTTTGGAGAAAAAATGGAAAAGAATAACATTGTAAACAGCTCATCATTCCAAAATCTTGTCTATCTACTTTTCAAGAACCCCCCCTCCCCCCGGGAATTCCTGTAGCATATTAGTTGCAAGTTCCCTGGTTTGTCAGTATCCATTCTCCCAACCTCCAAATCCTGCTTAGCTTTCTTGCTGATGGAAAACTGGTCTACCTGACATACCCCACCAATGAAAATAAAGAGAAAAAGAATAGTCTTATGGTTGAAATGGTGTGCCTGTTATTTGGGTGTATATTATTAGATGAATCTTTTCACTGGATAGTTGCAGGGAATTTTCCTTTAGTCTCAATCACTATGTGGCCCATAAAAATTTCCTTCTTTTTCTTTTGTCTGTAGATAGCTTTCTATATTGCCATTTCTTTTTTTTGGTGGGTCACTCTGTTTGAAATATAGATGTTGAAGGCGACATGAGAACAACAGAAGACCCTAGCTCACATTATCATTGGATGGAGTCATCCTTCAAATCTTTCTGCTTTTGGAAGGTTATCTTTGTCTCCTTCTGAGGATACTCCAATTTTTTGTTAATTTGAAAAGTTATTGAATAACAATGTTTTCTATATAAAAACCTTTAAGCACCTTTGCACTTGATATGTTAGTTGATCTGGGTTTACTGATGAAAATGATTCCAAGATCTTGTCTTTTCAGGGAAGTTTGTGAAACACAATTTTGGTAGAAGATCATGACTGCGGCTGAATTATTCCATTAGATGCTTGAAGACTTTATAGCAGGTATTTTGAGAACATAAAATAATTGTTGTTTCCAATTGCTGATAAATTAATAACAATTGCACCTATACTGAATCTGTTAAAGTTGTCATTTATTTTAGGTAAATGATTTTGTATTTGACCTTTGGTTGTGTGCTCCTTAATGGCTGAAGTTGAAGTTTGTTTGGTTACAATGTTTTTGAATATTTTACTATTTAATTATTAAGACAAAGCAATAAGTCATTCAGTTCAGCCACTTCAGTTGTTATGAAATGGCCCAAAGTACATTTTTAGTTTACTGGGATTTAAACTGCGAGCTCATTACTGTATTTTATTACATCATTCTATTGAACTACAAGCTTTAACTCCAAAATAAGCAATTGCTGGAGTGGGATTTGAACCTTCCTCTATTATTATAAATCGTTCACTAGAATACTTTCTATTTTTAGTGTTCCCCCTTTTGTTTGGTTATGTGATAATGTGTTTGCATTCACCATGATTAATGGGGATCTTTATCCTAATTTTCATACCACAATATCATTTGCAATACATTCTGTTTATGTGACAGGACCTCTCCAATCACATTTTTTTCATCATCTTTTCAGCAAATCTAAACACTTTCGTCTTTCAACAGATTTTTTTAACTTGGCAGACAGTTGTCATCACCTATGCAAAATTTTCCAACTTTTATGGACAAAAGATTCCCCTGTTTTTTTTTATATTCCATTCCCATCTTGAAAGGTGCATTTTAAACAATTGCTCCTATTCTTTCATTCCAATTTTCATCTTTAAAGGTGCTTTTAGCCAATTCCCCTATTCCTTTTTTTTTTCCATTACATGCTTATCTTAAAAACTTTTGCCAATCCCTCATGCCTGTTTTTCAAGTTGAGACAATGGTTGGTTGATTTTGCACGAGTTTTTCGCCTTGTTTGTGGAACCACTGTTGAACGTCACCTTGTATCTTACTTGAGCCCCTAGTGGCAACCATTCTAATAGCATCTGACAGAATCTCCTACCATGTCTTCTCTTTGTTTCTCTCATCAATTCAACTAAAATCAACAAATCCTTGTCCCAACTAAATGGAGTTGGCTACATGAATAGGGGTAGATTGTATAAGTACCTAATACTTGTCCCAACTAAATGCACAAAGTGGCTGCTTGCAATCTATCATTGTCACATTCATTTTTAAATTTTGTTATATATGCAAAACCTAAATATCTTAATCTACTTGCCCTCATTTTATCACCTAGTAAGGGCTAGTCCTAGATTGCTATGAACATGCTCATTTCTAATGCAGGAGAATGGGTCTAGCAGACCTGTTCTAGTCCTGTTCTAGTGATTTTTACAATAAAAATCAGTGTTTACAAAACTGGACCGGACCGGCTGATCAGACTGGTTGAACCATGACCTGGGGCCCTAGCCAGTTCAGTCACACTCCAAGAACCGTAATGTCTATAAAACCCGGTGAAAACCGGCTGACTGTCTGGTTTAGCTGGTGAACCGGTCCCAATTTCATGAAACTGCTCGGGTCACCAAGTAATTGAAATTCTAAAATGAGTGTGACAAGACTTGAACCCATGACATCTTATTTTCATATATTGCTTAATTACCACTAATCCACCTCTTTGCTTATACTATTTGATGACTCTTTATTGTATATGTTACTTTATTACACACATATTTTAAAGAAAATGTAAATTAGGAGACTTGGACCTTATTCATTTGCTTTAATAATTAAGGAAGTTGCCATCCATCCACCTTATTTAAGCATATTAAAAGTTATAAAATAGTATATAATATAGTGTTTCAATTCCTGCTACAATAGTCTGAACCAGTAAGGAGAAGAAAGAGAAGGAGAAGAAGAAGAAGAAGAGAAGAAGAAGAAGAAGATGATGAAAGAACTGTTGAACCTGATAGACTAAACCCTATCAGTCGACCTCTTAATAGTGATTAGGCTCTAATTAATTGTACAAAGACTAAACTGCCCCCACTTAAGTATGGGACAGAGAGT